CACACACACACACACACACACACACACACACAATGTGACTCAAGGAGGCAGCGCGTTGAGCTCATTTCAAATGTCTCACCCACTTCCATCTTAACTGAAATGGTACTTTGAAAATGTATTTAATAATCTGTTAAAAGGTTTACGCCCACCTCCCAACTTGGCACCAATAAGTTTCTTGACTTTTATTTGACTGACAGCTTCTGTGGTTGGCACGTTTTCTCTGCAACAACCGCAGCGCAACCAACTGTGAAATTATAGGCCGAGAATCAAAACAAAATGAGCATCGTATTATCACTGCCAATTACGAACAATTGTCTAATGTTTGGCTTACCTTAAGATATATAGACAGATAATTGGAAAGCTGACATCAGAAGACACATGCGGCCTAGAATTTGACATCTTGAGAATCTTGGGGCCTGCCTGTGTTGTTGTTTAGCAGGTATGACTGTGAGTCAGGGCAGCTGGGGCAAGAAAAAGTTTTTGGTAGGTGACCCCCTCGATGTCACGTAAGGCTGACATTTATAACCCATAAAAAAACACGTGACAACGTGTGGGCTATGCGCCCTTCATGTAGAGAGCAATCAGGGTGCTCGTGCAAAGTTGGCGGCCGATGATAAATGTGCAAAAAGTGAATGAACACTTCTGCTAATGCTCTTTAAAGTAATGCTGCATATACAGGCAATATTTGCTCATGTCAGTGACCGCGAATCTATATATCTATCTAAATATAAATATATAGATAGTTATATATATATGTGTGTATTATTTTTAAAGTGTTTTTGTTATGTATACTCACTCAGTATGATAAAGAGACAGATCTGTAATTATCCGAGTGCCAAGTTTATACATTTTTTCCCCTCCTGTATCTTTGGTGCTTATCATTTGTGAGATTCCGTGTGCATTCCCAGAAACATTATAATCAGATACGGTTTCAGTCTAAATAAACTCTCACTGTTTTATTTCTAAGGATTGACTGTTCTAAAACAGGTCTCAAACTTTCAGGAAGGTAGATGAGTAATTGTGTGTAACAGCATCGATATTTGAGGTGAAGACGTGTGAGCAAGAGTAAGAGGTAAGAGTTATATTACAGGATTGTAATAGTGAGATACTGAAACATATCGGATGATCTACAAAGTATTTCACAGTGCAGTCTGTTATTTCTATGTTGCAGTAAACAACCATCACTATCACCTTAAAATACTTCACAGGTTTAGCAAATTTAATCAGAAATCTATGAGTAAAAATAGCTTAAACAAAATAGCAAAAATAATGGAATCTTCTGCTTCAATCTCTTAAGTTGATTTAGCAATGATAATGCTGCATTTTTATTAGGACATTTTAAAACGTAAAGCTTTGAGTTAATAGAGATCACATAAAGCTGATGGTCACAGCCTTGCATTTTCAATATTGCTGTAGCAGTTTTAGAGAAGATATTGATGATAAAATCTGATATTTATCTCCAAATGCTGCTGGATTTAGAGAGATAATGAGCTCATCGTCATCATCCGATTTTCAGATCAATATTAAATGCTTCGGAGGTGCTCTAATTTATGCTACTTGCTCTTTCTGAGGACTCTCAGCGCTTGTTCTGAGGGCACAAAGATGGTCTGTGTGTCACCTCACCTCCCCACCCCCTTGTAGTCGCTATAAAGTGTCATCAGCTACGCAAATGAAGTGCCCATTGATAAAAAAGAGCAGCCGCCTTCTGATAGAAAAGACTCGAGTCGGCGAGTGCAAGGTGGAGTAACGCGCGAGAGTCGTGCGCCACGTTAATTTATTGCGATTCTTAGGGCATAATAATAATAGCCAGTACAGCAGTAATAATCGTCCACACACGATCACTGTGCGAGTCTTTAAGATTTACCTTTGCTTTTATTTTGTGTGACTTTAGCAGCAAAGATCAGCCTCTGTCTACAGGGCCACTCGATGCACGTTAATGCGCCAGAAAGGAGAACTGCACTGATTTAAATGTGGAGAAAATTAATTTTGAACACATGCCATGCACATAATTATTACAGCTGCAGATATTTGAGAGCACTGTGGGAGAAATTTCACGAAAAAGAACTGCAACAAAAAAGTAGCTTATTGTTAACAAATAAATGAAAATCACTTTGGTCATAAAATGCACGGAGCTGTAGGAAAAACAAGGCAGTGTGTGAGAATAATATTTAACACTCAGCGCTCAGTACTGAATGTTTATTCAATCGCGGCTCATTTAGACGCTTTGTAATTACATTTGGCAGACTAACGAGTTGAGTTACTTTTACATCTGCACGCGCGCATACACGCACGTGCACAGGGACGCACACAGGTGTGTTGTGGCCCAGAACTCTAGCACCAAATCCATCCGCAACAAAAGTTCTTTACAAAGAAATTAGAGCCCTGAAATAAGTGCAAGCATGTTTTGTTTATTTCCAGCCCTATAGACTTTACCCTATAGAGCCAACAGAAAGGAACTATTGAGTTACACAGCACGTACCATTATAGCGTGGGGAGATCTGCCAACCCTCTCAATGCCCCATTTTCCTTTAAAAGTTCAGCTTCCAAAAAAGTGAGAGAGGGAGTGAGAGATGAGGGAGGAAGACTTGGTCTCTTCGCTGTTGCCGGAAGCAAAAAAGGACCTTTAAACACGTCGGCTTTAGGCCCAGATAGAGAAAAAAAACACGCTCTTTCAAAAGTCGGTCCACTCTGAAAGCGATAGAAGGAAACGAAGACACCAGCTCCGAGCCTTCCGTCTACCGCTGTTTGGCGTCAGATGCGCCCATGTCCCGCAGAAAGAAGTGAGGGAGACGTCTGCGTCTAAGTCCCGAGGTGCGTCCTTCGGCGGCAAAACTCCAGCAGACTGGGAGATGCTAAAAAAAACCCCTCCCCGAATTAATACTGATAATACGGGTTTAAAAAAAAATCAAAAAATAACCCAAAATAATAATGGACGGGAGAAGTGACGCAGAGTAAGTTTTGTTTCTATTATTTTTCCGTGTGCAGCCTTTGCGGTCGATCAGCTTCTGTGTCCAAAACGTGTCCAAAAGCAGCTGTCTCCTATGCCGCGCGTCCGATCTGTTTTACCCTCGTATCTCTCTCTCTCTCTCCTCTCTCTTGATCCGAACGCACACAAACACACGCAAGCACACGCACGGAGTTACACGCAAACGGGGGGGACACCCCTGGTCCCTCGCCGCCTCCTCCTCAAAGCTGACGAGATGAAAGAGCAGCTTGCGTCGTGCCTCTTCAAATCGCTACAGCCTCGCCGATAGAGGAATGCCTGTACAGCGATACGTCGTCGGTCGCGGCTTCGGCGGGGCTCTGGATGCCTCGGTGCGTAAAAATGGAAGCTCGCCGTGCGCTCCGGCAGCGATAGATTGCCTTGCTCTTCCCTCCCTCCCAAAATATCAGCCACTAAATAGCTCACCTCAGCAGCATGCGCCCTGTTTACACGCACATACACAAAATAATAGACGGGGAATTGGGGCAGTTGTTTACAGTGAAGGTTGGGTTGGGGGGCCGGTGCTTCAGGCGGCAGCGTCGAACTGGTGAATTATTAGGTGAATTATTAATAAAGCGAGCGGTGTGCAGTCTGTCGCGGAGAGAGCGGAGCGACCAGGAGAGCAGCTGGGGCTTTAGGAGCATTAGGAGGACCAGAGGCTAAATCACGGGCTGCAGGGATTAGAGAGCTGCGCCGGCTCCTACCTACCGCCTGAAGTTTGCAGAGTGACTCTGTGGGGACGGCCGAGCGAGAGCAGAGCTGCTCGGTTTTTATGTGTGTGGTGTTTTTTGTTTTAATGTTTACAACCCAAGAGCAAAGATCGGGCCACTAAAGGATAATATGTTATTTTAATGACAACCTGGCCACAGTTATAAGCTGTGCACTGTGTGTCCACGCATCTGATAATATAAAAAAGGGGGGAAAGTCAGCTGTCAGTTACTGAGCAGCCAAGCAGGACAGCTTTCCTTAATCCCAAAACTTACTTTGTTTGATTTCCATCAATATCTGTAGCACTAAGGGTATTTTGCATGTGACTGTCAGGATGTGACGCTGTGAAGCAACAGGATAAAATTCATCTGAGATATCGCAGGCATTCTCACCAACATGATTTAAAAAAAAAACACACACTCTCTCCACTTTACCAAAAAGCAACCACGTGTTTTAAGAAACTGTTTATTGCTCCAGAGATTTTAAGGACAACGGCCAGATCCAGCAGGCCTGCCACATAAGACACTTGGTGCACGTGCTTTCTGATGTCAAGTTTCAATTTAAGAAAGTTTCTTCTTCTTTTAATGTAAACTTGGATACATCACCTGGAACAGATTTTGATTCAAATGAAATTGGCCAGGAGAATTTGTGGGGACACCGTGGGGCCTAAAGGACATAATCTAAGAATGGAAAAAGTCACTTTAAAAAAAGCAGATAAGAGTGATTTAAAAATAAACTCTGGAGAAAACAAAAATATCTGGAAGATTTTGTGCAGATTTGGTCACTCAACCTGTTCACACGCCAGTCACATTCAAAACGTGGCCGTGTCTTGTTTCATACTCAACCTTCGGGCTTTCCTCTACAGTTATAAACGGCTGGTTCAAATCAAAGCAACAAACTAAATATTTTCGTTGTTGCAGATGAATCTGATACACATCGTCTGGATAAATCAGAATTTGGCCTTATTTCTGCTTTTATTTTCAGCTGTGCGTGTGGAGTTATCTGCCTCTCTCCTTTAGAGAGAGAGAGAGGGGGGGGGGGGGGGAGAAAGAAAACAGCCTAATGACATTCCTCCAACATGAGGGTTTATAAATAATTAAACGCTGACCTCCCCACACATTTGGCCACATCAATTAATCATCTCTAAATGAATTTGTTTTTGTTTCAGCATAATTTCGATTATTCGGTTTGCGTCTGTGGCGGGATGACATGTGCGGGGTTGTTATTGTTGTTATTATTGTTTAGAAACGGAGGCCCCTGTGGCCCAGTTACCCAACAGCAGGGAGATACGAACAAGTGTCGTTTTTATTTGTTTTTCTGTAGTTTTAATTTTGTTTTAACACTGGAGACAACCAAGACTGACCAAAATATGACGAGACTGAGCAGAAACCACGTAACCTAACACTTAGTAGGTCAACAATTTATCGCCTACTTTTATTGATACAAGGACCTGTATTACAAACACATTTTCCTTTTGTTTATCATAAAATTATTTTTATGGAATTATTTTGAAAAAGAGGGGAAAAAATGACTAGGCCTTCAAAATGTTGACCCTCACTCTCTCTATTATTTACATATTTCTGACATTTTTAATTCAATGATAATTTTGTTTAAATAACTAATAGGATCTTATTTGTTTAGGCATAAAACAAACTGCAGGTAGACGTCGAGGTAAGCGATTACTGGTAAGTTCAACAATCAGATGAATGATTGGCTTGAATATTAAAGTTGGTGAATGACTTAAAGTATGAAAGAGGAGTAGGAGCCTGCACAAATAATAATAACAATAATGACGATGATAATGAGTATAACAATGATATATTATTATTAATAATAATTCCTAATGTTACATTAACATTTTTATTAATTGATTGAATGACAGAGGCTTTCTGCCTCAAGCGTCTTGTTAAGTTTCACAGTTTGTACCTTGAACTTTCCCAATACTTTATTTATTTACTTTTAATATTAATTCTGGTCTCTCTCTCTCTCTCTCTCTCTCTCTCTCTCTCTCTCTCTC